CATTCATGTCACCTAAAAGGTAAACCTGTTTCTCCATCACCTGTTCAGCTCTGATGATTCAGTAAGGACATCTCCTGGTTTCATCTTCATTTTTCTCACCACCAGTGTTGGGTAAGTTACTTTAAATTAGTAACTTAGTTACATTACTAGTTACTTCTATCAAAAGTAACTCAGTTACTTCAAGTTACTCGTTACTTTCAGAGTAACTAGTTACTAGGGAAAGTAACTTTGGTTTTACTCAGAATTCTCTTGTTAATGTGTTGCTTCCGTAACTGGATACCCAGCAAGATTGCCAGTCTTCTAGCTTGCTTACTTGCCACAAGTGCACTGTGCCACCTACCAATAGAAAGGAAAAAATAATGTGCACATTTCCACGAGAGAAATCCCACGCCTGATTCTATCCTAGCCTGCTTTTTACATCCAACACAAAAACTGCAGTCGTGGTGCTTTCGATTGTACTCAGAACTCGGAAATTCTGCCTTCTGAATAGGAAGATGTAGGTAACACCAGACTGCAGATGAGCTGCATACAGGGCTGGACTGGGACAAAAAATCGTCCCGGGCATTTTGACTAGAGACCGGCCCACCATTATAGGAAAAATCATAAAACCTTAGAAACTAATAACATATCAAAAAATACAAAGAAAACTCAGAGTGCTGGGTCGGAGACCCAGCCTGTGACATGTAGTGGTGTGTACACGGTTGTAATATTCCTCTTACCTTCTTGGACAGCCATGGCTTATGTTGTTGTGCCTACAAAATAACCACTTGCTTGTTTAACATTCTAAATGTAAGGTCTCCTTTCACTCCCACTACTTTCTATTCCATTCTATGATGCCTCTTACGCTGACTGAACTTACGCAGGAACTGTTAAACAAGTAGATCCCACATAAACACTGTGTCCATGAGAGGAAAAACAAAGATCTCACAGCTGAAGTTAGTACCGACTCCAACCTCACAGTTGGTCTCCATAGTATACGGAGTAAGACCTCATTGCTATCTGGATTTTAGTATTAGAGTTTAGTATTGTGACTGGTCTCGCTGGTTTTGAGATTTCTCGGTTGACCTAAAAGGAACACATTCTTCCAACATACTTCCATTATGATTCATACAAGGCTGATGAATACAGACTGGCACTGTGGAGCTTCATCATGCACCAGAGGAACAAACAATAGCAGCCTGTTGTATTAACTAAATAAAATGCAGGTCTGGATGGTCGATATCCTGAATTTATATAAACCTGTCAGCAAGAGAAAGGAAAAAAGTGCCAGCACTACCTCTGCAACGTCCCAGCATGTATGTTTCATGAGTGCTGTTCTGCTTTCTTTTCTCTCCTCCTGCCTGTTTTTACACTTCTAACAGCCATCACATATCCAGAGAGAGAAGAAAGTGACAAGCTCAACTCAGCAGTAATTGGCCAGCTCGCATATGACACGGCAGATAGGCACAAGGGAGACAGACAAGAGGAGATTAAACATATTAAACAAAGGTCCAAAGACATCTGACGGTACCTGCCCTGTGCAAATCTGCTTCCACTACATGATTCAAAGGCCACAGATAACATTAGTTAGACATTTGAGAGAGAATAATGGATTAATTTTACTACAGTGTGAAGGGAGGCTTTGATGAAACAGATAAAGAGAAACCATGACACAGCTTTACACTTAACAAGCCAATACAACTTTAGAGAGGAGCGACATCTCTTTTGTATTATTTGGATAGGATGGGACTTTTTTGACACTATTTCAAAAATCATTTACTTTGTTCTCTGCTACATTTATGTGAAATTCAGCTGTTGTCTTCATAGTCTTGTGTTATAATCATTGGGCCTTTTGTGCTAATTTTATACCATGTTATTTTACCAGTGTTACAGTACTACATTTCCAAAGAAAGTGCTGCCCTTGTTACACGCGTCTTGTACTACAAATTATGTCACCTTAAATTCCTTTATGTAGTTTTTAGTTGGCCTTAACCATCATTCTCTCACACCTTAGCGTTTTCTAGCCCTGATAAGTTTCCAAATTGCATTACTATGTGTAACTGCTACGTTTCCCAATGAAGATTGGTGCCTCATCATGCATAGCATTCTGCCTTTATAGTAGGTCAGAGATCAATTTCCATCCCATCAGACAGATGAAGAGATTTTTGGCTTTTACGCAGGAATGGCTTTCATCTGGCCACTCTACCAGCACAAAGAGAGAGAAGTTTTGGTCATTCGCAGACAATTAGAGAGTTTTCTGGGAGCTCTATTACCACATGGACCACCAGTGTTGGGACTAACGCGTTATTAAGTAATGTGTTACAGTAACTACGTTATTATTGTGGTAACGAGCACAGTAACTAGTTATTATGCCAAAACCAGGAACGCGTTACTCGTTACTGGGATTTAGATAGG